TCTTTTTTTGTCTTTTACACGGTTTATTATCTATTATATATATATATATATATATATATATATATATATAACTCAATCTTTTTTTATGTATAATATATTATGGGTATATATAGTGTCGCTCCCAATTTTGACCATGATATAGTCTTTGATTTTTTTTGGTCAAAAAAGTTTTGTCTAAAGCTTTGTAGTAGGATATTTTAATACTCTAATTAGACGAGGAATGGAGGCTAGGTTTTGAAATCTTGTATCATGAAAGATGGTAGAGATTTCCGGATAAAGATTTCATTATCATTTCAAAATTAATCATATTAATCTATCACGATTATCATCAAAATAAGAATATATATATATATATATATATAAATATGAGATATAATATAATCGTATTTATTCAGTCTGGTTTATTTTCTTATATATATATATATAACACAAATAGCACCAATCAATTATATTTAAACTTTTTTACAAATAATAACCCTATAATTAAATTGTAAATATAATATTGTTCAAACTCAAACAGTATTCATAAACTGGTAGGACCATTCAAGACAGCACTTGTTTTTGGAATTTTGGTCTGATTGTATTTTAGACACTTTTCAAGGTTTATATAATGATCTCATTTATATATTTTTACTAACAGTTATATAGTTTGGTTTTGCTTTTCTTTTTATCACTTTTTTTTTTTGCTTCTCTTAATCAAAATTTATTGACAATTAATTAATTTATAGGGCAGCTCACCTGCATTAATTAAATACAATATTGAATAGAAAAAATTGTCTGAAAACTGACTACTATATAATATAAAACTACATTCGTCAGATCCCTATGAAATCACCGAAATAGCTGAAGCTATAATATTGGAAATAGTAATAAAATATAATTTAATACTCACTTTTTCTTCTTTTTGTGGTACGGCTTGTTCATTTTATTATTATTATTATTATTATGACTGATGATGATGAATGATGATGATGATGATGATGATGTTACAGAAATAAAAATTAGTCAATGAAGAATAATAATTAATCTATTATATAATTTACTCGATACTTTATTGCTCAGCGAAGAAGAAGGATTAATGTTGAAAGACATAAAACTCATGAATTAATTAATATATTCTTTACTTATGTTTACATTAAAATAATTAATATTTTATCCATGAGCTTTAACTACGTGATTCCAAAGTCCATAAATCTAAATGGGCCTAAATTTGGGCTTACATTTACATAGCATTAAGTCCATTATTTTAATTAAAATGGGCCTAAATTTATCTATCAAGCCCATTGATATAATTTACTTCTTCCTAATTGGGCTCTACTAATATTAAGTCCATTCTAAAGTTTCGTAGATTTTCTCAGTTCGTTTTCTTGCCCAGAAAGCCGCCGAGAAAGTTAAAGGGAGAGAAACAAGCAAGGAGAAGAGGAAGTGAGCGAGAGGAAATGGAATCATCGAAAAAGATAGCTCACGAGATCGGTGGTGTCAAGAACGATGCACTTCGATTTGGTCTCCATGGCGTTAAGAGCGACATCGTTGGATCTCATCCGCTCGAATCCGCTTACGAATCTGTAACTATGCCGCATCTCGTTTTCTCTTCATGTCTTGTTCTTTATAATATTGATTTCGCTTGGATTTCTGATGGAAATCTGTTTGGTTCTCGGGAAAGTGTGCCGATAAAAAGGCGGCGAGTGTGGAGGGGAATTAGCGTTGAAGGAACTTAGGATTTAGCTGGTGATCGCGTATCTTCCATTGTCTGTTGAGTTTCTTTTATCATGTGTTAGGTATTTGGGTTTTTATTAGAGAAACTAGAGTGGGAAGGGAGGGTTTTGTGTTATCGGGATTTCTCACTGACTGAGAAACTGGAAATTAGGGTTTTCCGCACTCTATTTCTGCTGGTTACATTGATTAACTTTTTCATTTGGATTTTAGGAGCGGAAAGTGCAGGAGGAGATGAGGAGGAAGATCATTATGAATACCTATGGAGCTGCCCTTCCGTTGAAGATGGATCTGGACAGGCAAATCTTTTCACGGTATGGATACTAAATTTGTAGCATTGTGATGCCAATTCCTCTGAGTGTTACGGTTAATCAAATCTACATCAGCTCGAGAGAATCTAGGCGTGTTAAGTTGGTGCTACAATGCTACATTGCAATATGGTCGATTAACTGTGTTGGCCATCTACAAGATAGATCAGATTGCTGTCTGAAATTTATAATACTGATAATATCATAATGGTTAACTTATTACTGGAACCGTAAGAGCATTCTGGATCTGGAGTTGGTTCCTGATGCAAAGATGAAATGTGAACTATGAAGATGCCGGTTTGTAATTTGGTCTCGTTTGTTCACACGTATAAGGGAACAAGGCATACTGTGTTTTTGTGTTTCTCTGGCTTGTTGTGAATATCCACATTCTTTTTGTCTGCTCTTTGTTAACTCGCTGGATTTGCACCTGACGAGATTGGTTTAAAGTGTTCATGCTTCGACTATATGGTCCTTTGGTGGTTAATTATCATTATAACATGAATACTTTTTGCTATATTGCTTTCATATATCTTTTTTCTTTCTTTCTTTCTCTGGGGTATTCAGATTTCAGAGACCTCCTGGACCGATTCCGTCTTCTATGCTCGGTTTGGAAGTCTACACAGGTGCATTAGATGATTTCGGCTTTGAGGATTACTTGAACGGTAAACATTTCCCATCTCTTCCAACTACAATGACTGTTCTGAACTCTAGATTACTACCCATCAAAACATCAATGGCTATCACTTGGTAATCGAAATTCGTACTTGTTCTCGACAAACCAAGGACCGAAGGCCTTTCTTTTCGGGGCACATTAGATTGTGAAAGAGGGTTCTAAGTCTTTCCTGTTCATGTTTATCATCTATCCGTTTTTTTCTTCTTTCTGATATATTTAGTTTATGCACTGCAGATCCTCGCGAATCCGAGACATTCAAGCCGGTAGACCTCCACCACGGGATGGAAGTTCGTGTCGGCCTCTCCAAGGGTCCAGTCTGTCCGAGTTTCATGTAAACCCTAAACATATTTCATGCCGTGGAAAACGTTTCCATCTTCAGATCTTCAGTTTGTTCTGTCTTTTGTTTGAATCCTGAATCTGAGTGAGATTGTGTAATGATTGTCTTTTAACCTGTCTTACTTGAGTTTGGTGTTTTACTTTCTCGCGAAAAGTGTGTTTTCAGGTTCCAAGTAAAATGTTGCACATTAATGTTATTATATTATCGTTGCTAATTGCTATTTATGATGATCCATCGAAGATAAAAAAATAAAATTTAAAAGTGAATATCGATAAATAACAAAAAACCAGTGCTTTTGTTGTCTGCTGTTATAAGAAAAAAAAAACCCTACTCTCATTTTCACATGAAAATAATTTAAAAAAAGGAAAATAAGAAAATAGAAAGGGAGGAAATCCCGATTCCCCCAAAACAATTTTGCCGATAAAATCTCCTGATTTTCCGTTTCAGCCGAGAAAAAAAGAAGGCAGAAGGAAGAGATGGATTCTCGACGTAACCCTCGCACCGTGATCGACCCAAAGGTCCGGCAAGTCGGGTTTTTCGCCCCTTCTCAGTCGGGTCGACCCGACCCGGCTCCTCTTCCCGATCCTTTCTCCTCCTCCGACACCGCCGTCGCTTCTTCCCCTCCGGTCTCCGGCATTTCTCCATCCGGTAACTCCCTCTCCCCGGTCATGATCCCTCCTCCTCGCCATAACTCCTCCGATGTCTTCATTGTCCGCTCCGCCGCTTCCGTCGTCACACCCACTTCGTTCTCTTACACCAGCCGCGGCGAATTCCCCGATGACTCGTCCTCGGCGGTTGCGGCGTCTCCCGGTGGTCGCGTCTCCAGGGCCAGTTTCGGTAAATCCGTCTCCGGAGCTGCTGCCGCGTCTTCCTTTCCCGGCGTCGGGATTGATTCCATGGCTGCAGCGAAGTCCAGTAGTGTTCCTGCTAGTGGGTTAACCACTGTTTCCGTTGTGAATTTGCCTCCTGGAATCTCTGGTACTGTGATCCATTCGATGGATTTGTTTGTTCGTGTGAGGAATTGAGATGGGAACTGGTGATTTCGATGTTAAATCTTATGGAATCATGGCGTTTTTGGTTGCAGAGAAGGCGAGTAGAGTTGAGGTGCAGAGTGAACGAGGGAAGAATTCGAAGCCATTGAAGGAGAAGACCACCAAAGCTGAAAGGAGAGCCATTCAAGAAGCTCAAAGAGCTGCTAAAGCAGCTGCAAAAGGTGCGCCTAAACATTACCAACAAACTGTTGTCATCTAATTGTAATGACTAGTATGGGATGTAGCTTGGCTTTGCTTTGATTTTGAATGATGATCATGTTTCTCCATAATGAAATGGAATCTGGGACGAGGTTGTTTTGTAGACTGTGTGATCTTCTTTGTCTGAAAATCTTGTGTTTTATGCTAATTCTGTGCTATCAGCTGAAGGAGGTAAGGCACCTCCTGTGAATTCTGGCTCGGTGGCTGCAACAAACGTGAAACCTGCTAAACCCACAAAGCCTTCTTCTCAGAAGAATGACGGTGCTGTTGCAGCTGGTGCCTCTGAGAAGAAGGGTGGCCCACCAGAGAAGGAGAGAAAGAAAGATGCTCCTCATCCACGCATGCAGTATGATGATGAGAGCCGGGTCGAAAAGGCGAAAAAACGATCTGTTGTGAAACAGACCGAAGCTAGAAACAGGGTTGAACTATTCAGGCATTTGCCCCAGTATGAGCATGATACTCAGCTTCCTGATCTGGAGTCCAAGTTTTTCCAACTTGAGCCTATGCATCCTGCTGTCTACAAGGTATTCCATAAAAAAATGTCTTTTTTCCTCGGGAGGAACTGAAATTGAATTCAATAGATCGGCATTTTGAGTTCAGTTAAAAATTGCGTTTGAAAATGAGAAATCCCTTTTATTGTGATAAGTGTGACTCTTTTTGCTAGGCTTAGATGAATGTCCCTTAGTTATGTGCTAACTAAGCCTCGAATGTTGTGGTTATTAGGTTGGACTTCTGTATCTATCTGGTGATGTATGTGGTGGAAATGCCCGATGTATCGCAATGCTCTTAGCGTTCCAAGACGTCATCAAAGATTATTCAACACCACCTGAGAAGACGCTTAACAGGGACATGACTGCCAAATTAAGTAGCTATGTATCTTTTCTCATAGAATGCCGCCCACTTTCAATCAGCATGGGTAATGCTATCCGATTTCTGAAGAACAGGATCTTGAAGCTGCCTCTCACACTGTCTGAATCCGAAGCAAAGTCAGCTCTTCTTGCAGATATTGATCGCTTCATTAACGAGAAGATCATTGTTGCAGATAAGGTGATAGTCAAACACGCTGTCACAAAAATAAGAGATGGTGATGTCCTTCTCACCTATGGGTCACCTACAGCTGTTGAGATGGTATTATCGCATGCCCATGAGCTGGGGAAAAAGTTCCGTGTCGTGGTGGTGGATTCCCGTCCAATGCTCGAAGGCCAGCTGCTGCTTCGTAGATTGGTCAGGCAAGGCATCAACTGTACATACACCCATATAAACGCCATCTCATATATCATGCATGAGGTCACAAAAGTGTTCCTAGGGGCTTCTTCAGTTCTGTCAAATGGAACAGTTTATTCACGGGTCGGGACTGCTTGTGTTGCAATGGTTGCTCATGCATTCCGTGTCCCTGTTCTCGTTTGTTGCGAAGCGTACAAGTTCCATGAGAGGGTGCAGCTCGATTCCATATGTTCCAATGAGCTCGGTACGATGCATCTCTTTCGACATTTTGTCCCTTAAACGACGTTTCATGGCTCCATTGATTTGATCGTATTTTGGGTTTTCTGTTCTGTAGGAGATCCATACGCTATTTCAAAAGTCCGAGGAAGAGAAGACATTAACTACTTGGATGGTTTGACCAACAATGCTAACCTGCAGTTTTTGAACTTGATGTAAGCTGTTATAAAGCCCCCCCCCCCCCCCCCCAACCAAAAAAAAAGATCACCATCACTAACTGGTGAGGTTTTTTTCTGTCAAATGGCAGGTATGATGCGACTCCGTCAGACTACATATCCATGATAATCACAGACTATGGCATGGTAAGATTATTTTTCATTTGTAAAAAACTCATGGTCACTCGTATAGCCTCGTCGCTTACAGAATGTTTCAGCAGGGTCCTTCTCTATGACCCGACACTGACTTCTTGTATTGTCTGCACTGCAGGTACCGCCAACAAGCGTACCCGTCATCGTAAGAGAATATCAGAAGGACCACGTACTGGTCTAAGCACAAATCTTCATCCAATCCAACATGAACAACCCAACCATGAAGAACCCTTCTCCAGAAATTTTGCCTCCGCGTCGACGACGGTGAAGTCTCTTGCCCCTCGGGTTTTTCCCATCTAGAAGAATAATGGTCGCTACTGGCTTGTTCTTCGCTCTCTTATTTTCCCCCGAGTGTACGGGATCCCTTTTTTTTTTCCTCTTACAATGGTGACAATGTTTTGAAACACTGACTCTGTGAAGAGTGCGATTCTTGGACCGCCTCTCCGGGCAGATTTTTATGTCTCTGGTAGCGTTTTTGTCTTTGTATTCGAATGTTATGAGAGAGCTTTTGATTCTGATTGCGTTTTGTTTTCCATTTTTTTTGCCCCCTCTCCATGGAGGTTGATGATACAGTTTGTCGGAATCTCTGTTCCTCGTTTGCTGTTTCATCTTCCGGAATCTCATGTCTTAATTTTGTTGCAGATGTTTGAAAAAATAAACCATCATCATCATCATGAATGTTCTCTCTTTCAATCAAAATATCCACAAGTAATCTCCATTCCATTTCGGCAAAAAAAAAAAAACATATGGAAAAAATAAAATCTAGAGAGCCTATTGTGTGAGGACTTGAGACTTGCCATTGACAGGAGAGACCACACCAAGGACCACGAGACCACCAAGAAGAAGGATCAGAACGCCCATGGAGTTAACCAGCATGGCCTCCGTACAGTACCGAGTGATCACCCGGTTCACCTGAAGGAATGTCGCCTTCTCAAGCAAGCCTGTGACCGCAGCCGCTATGGCCAAGGCGTAGATATAGACCCCGAAGAACACGTGCCATGGCAGTAAGCTGGATCTGCTGTTTCTTGAACCGCCTGGGTACCAGTACGTCACGAATCCTGCTGCCCACTGGTTCGTTGGTATTTTTCATTAGGGGGTAAAGCAGTTAGATAAAATCCCAAGTCCCAAGGTAGGGAACGAGGCCGATCACGGGTGGGAACCCCGACCGCAGATTCAGTTCGGGATTTTTTTCTTTTGAGATTTTATTGGATAACGGGTATCTGAAAGAATATGTATCTATATATATTACCTGGAAGGCGAAGAGAAAGAGGCAAGCAAGGCCGAGCCAGGAGTGAAGGCTGTAGAAATTCTCAATCCCTTTATCAATATGGAACTTGAGAGCTGCCCATACTCCTACTAGGCTTAGTATGAATGCCGTCAATTGTAGCGTCAGATGTATCAATTTCCTCGTGTTCTTCGTACCTTGGACCGTCTTGTAAGCCAACATTGCTGCACCAAATTTCATATATCTAAATGTCATTTCGTAAAGAAAGTCCATAGAAATTTCTAAAGAACGTGAAAAGAAACCGTTCTTTGAAGGTATGTATGTATACCTTCGCCATTGAGGAGTATCAGTCCAATCACCATCAACACAGGATGTACCTGCAAACAACACAAAGATATATATCAACCGATATATAGACTTACCCCAAGTAGAAACTCGTGTTTTGAGGTTTAATGGAAAGTGATTACATCAACGAGAACAGAACTGTATAATGAACGCGATGAAGATCAAACTTCCTTTCAAACAATTTCCGAAGTCGATTAGAGACAAATCCCCAACTCGAGATGTATAAACAAGCTTTAGCATCAAATTCATCCGGGCAATCCACTGATCTATTACTGAACAACAATCCTGTCCATGAGACAGAGCCATACATATCTCTGGCTAGTAGCAAGATCACAACTTTAACTTTTCAAACAGACAAATGATAAGTTACCAGTCACGGGCAAACGGGATAACACAAGAGGCACGTCAATCGTGTTTCACCGAGTCTATATACGATATGACAGTGTATAACATGATCCATGTTGAAGGGGATACTAAGCTAAGATCACAAATTGTTTGCAGCTCTAACATCTTAAAGGATTCAGATCTCAGCATCACTCAATTCAATACCGGGAAATGCAACATATTCGGGTTACTTGCAAATTATTTCACAAATCTATCTATCTTCTACCTATAGCATGAAGAAATGCAAAAACCAAGCTTGATGGATATGTGGCTCAGACAGTGATTGCACAACCATGGGAGCTAAACTTGAACTCCAAACCCTAGCTTTTCAGACACACACATTAACACATTAAGCTCAGATCGTGGATTGTGATCCAGAAAATTAAATGAAACCTTCACTATCTTATAACAAGCAAACAAGATATATCATCACAATATAACATCAATTTCAGATTCTATCTTCTGATAAACGATTTCGAACCCTGAAATGAGGATCGACTAGACAGTAAAATGCGTACCCAAAAGAAGAAATCGAAGAAGAAATAGAACAGATTTGAGAATTTACGTTAAAGATGAGATCTTTGTTGTCGGAAACAAGAGCCAATCCTCCTCTGTAGTGAACAGCCCATGTAAGAACAAGAGCCGCTACGATCATGCCCAAAATCCTCACCAGCAGGAACACCGGAAACACACCCACCACCGGAACCGCCATTTCTTGCCGGAATTTGCGGAAAAGTTTTGTGATTTTAGGCCGTAGATCGATCAAATCGAAGATTATTAGGGTTCCACGGTCGTGGGTTTTCGTTGCTTGAGGGACTGCTTCGGGTCAAACTTTTTAATTTGCTAGATTTTAATTAAAACAATACCTTGATATCATTATTTATTTACCTCAACAGAAATCCCCTTTTGTTGTGTAGAAAAATCTCACGGTGATGATGATAGATATTTCATGTTGTGTTAATTTAAGAATTAAGTTAACAGCCTAGAAAAAGTCTGATTTCATTGATAATAAATTTTCCTAAATCTTATTCAACTCAATCGAAATTGACGATCATAAACTGATTTAAAATTCGACATTTTTTTTGGTGAAAAAAATCGAAAATTTTCTAAAGTTCTATCAATTTTTTTAGATATTAAAATCTAATCTCTTTCCTAAATTCAAGTATATAAAATTACAGTTGGGTTGGAATGGATGTGTATATTAATATTCATAAATTAAAGAAGTACCGAAATTATTTTAATTTTCCAACGGTCACAAAATTCATTGAGAGAAGAGTGGGGCCTCATGATGAGTCATGACACTTAGAGGCTTTCCATTTTGTTCTCTTTGAAGGCCCCCACTCACTCCCCATTCATTCACCTCTTGATAATATATGCTCTTTTTCTTAGAAAAATATATTCTTGATGCCATATTTTAATTACTTTTTCATTTTGATTTATGTGTTTTTAATTTATATTTTAAATGAAAATAATGATGATATTATTATTTAAAGGAATAAAATATACAAAAAAATATATAGGATGATGATGGGGTCACGTGGGGACAGAACATATGCTTCCATTCAAAACACCATCTCCCATATGTTTTTCCAACTTATCCACCTCTCCGCCAACCTTCCCTTTTCCCTTTATTTTTTTATTGTGTATATATATATATATATATGTATCTATCTTTATTATTATTTTTTTGGTTTATTCTCATTTACTTTTTTTTATTGATAAAATTTTCAAATTCCAAATCTTTTAATTAAAAATATTGGTTGACACATGAGTTGGATTTAGATCTGAGTATTTCATGTCATGGATACCAAAATTCTAATATCTTAAAAGTATTTAGATAGCTAAGGTAAGAAGAAATATCAGATTGACTTGAAAGAAATATGGTCATACATTCTAAATTTAGATATTTCTCATCATCACTCGGATTCAAAATTTTTTTATTATTACCTTAAATCAATATATATATATATATATAGTTTTTTTAATATTTTAATTAGAAGGAAAGGTTCACTTGTTGACAATAAGGTTTAGCAAAGAAATGGAATGTAAATTTTCCAATTTTTGATAGGTTATATTCCCATTCTTTCCCAGATGAATATGAAATACCTAAAACACCCTTACTAAATCGTCAAATTCACCGCAGGACCCATTCCAAACTACCCTTCACCAAACATGGGCATTTCCGTCAGCACAAAAAATTCCACGCCACCGCAGCCGTCACCGTTGGTTAATCCATTTATCCAAACCAGAAATACCATATCTACCCTCACAGAACCCTCAAGGGGCTCCACTAACACGGTGGCATAAATGTAAATAAAGAGAATATCAGGGTCCATAGTAAAAGGAGAAAAAAAAAAGCTAGAACGTGAGCGATCCTCGCTCGCCACACAAAAAGAGGCCTCAAGGAGGAGGACGGACTGTTTGGAGACGTTATCGGACTCAAAAATTTTCGCTGCCGGAATTTAGAAACTCCGTTCAAGTCCGGAGCCATTATCAAAAAGCCGATACCTTTTTCGTCGTCGTTCTTATCTCTCTATCTCTCTTTCTTTCTCTCTCTCCCTGGAAGTTTCTCAGAGTGAAGGGGAAAAGTTCAGAGGAGATTTCTGTTCAGTTCCTGGTTTTAACGTAGATTAGTTCAATTTCGGCATCAAGGTCACTCTTCATACTTATCTGAGGGAATTAGGGTTTTTTCGGCGGTTTTTTTCTGGTGTTTGACTTGGAGATCTCTGGAATTTCTTGATTTTTGAGATAATTAGGGGGAGTTTGCGTGATGCTCACGCCTCAGAAAGTGTGGAATAGGTGGTCTCTTGCGCCCCACAGGAGAGGGGCGGGATCAGGATCGGGCTCGGGTCTGGGTCCGGATTCTAACGGGTCGAATCCGGGAGAAGACGGGGCGGGTGTGAACGGCTCGGACATGGCGACTCCTGTTCCGGGTCGGGTCGGAGAAAATGGGATCCGATACGATGACACGGGGACATTGGTGGAGAAAGTTTCTCAGCTCGAAAAAGAGGTGGGTTTCTCATAATTCTGCTTTCTTGGTTCGTTAGTCTACTGTGGGCTTTTCCTTTTTATATCGTGTCTGTTAGGTATTTTAGAGTTGGGACATTGAATGTGTCTTGTTGAAGGTTTCTCGTATAAACTGTTCACTCAGGATTACAGCTCATGGCTTGATAATTTCAATCTCTTAAACATGTAAATCTTTTTGTTGATTCGGTTTATAGGAGCACGTTCACTGATGTATGGACTTTACAGATATGGTGACACTGTTGATACTATAATTTGATATTCGTCTCTTAAAAATGGAAGTGAATACGGTGACATTGGTGAGACTGTGAGCTCGTTTGAGTTTTCAACGGTTTTAGTGCGTATACTTGATTGATGATGGTTTGATTTGTGATTTAGATAAATTGCTGACTAAATGGTATGCTAAACAGCTCTTTGAATATCAATACAATATGGGTCTTCTGCTGATCGAGAAAAAGGACTGCACTTCCAAATACGAAGAACTGAAGCATGAACTTGTAGAAGCAAACGAGTGCCGTCAGCGTGAACGCACAACACATCTGATTGCTGTATCAGATGTTGAGAAGCGGGAAGAGGGCCTGAGGAAAGCCTTGGGGGTTGAGAAACAATGTGTACTGGATGTAAGCATCCTGTTTTCTAGAAATTTACTTTTCTTTTAAATTTTTTGTTTTTTTTAATGTTTCCACATGAAGAGGGTTTCTAGATGATGTTTTAAGTACAAGTAGACAGCGGAGAGGAGCTAAACAGGTCATATGATGTTCTTCGGTTGAGATGGCAAGGCTTATTTATTTGTAAATGGCTAGCTAATCCTAGCATTATTGATTCTAGTTGTTTCTTTATTCTAGTCGGTTTGAGTATCTTGGTTATTAGCGGGAAGAAATTTGTTGAACTTGTGTGTGTCATAACACTTTGACAATTGATGCAGCTTGAGAAGGCGCTCCATGAACTACGCTCTGAAAATGCTGTAATTAAATTTACAGCAGATTCAAAGTTGGCTGAGGCAAATGCACTGGTTACAAGTATTGAAGAAAAATCTCTTGAAATTGAGATGAAGTTGCATTCTGCTGATGCTAAGCTTGCTGAGGTTAGTAGAAAAAGTTCGGAGGTGGAGAGAAACTCAAAGGAACTGGAGTCTCGAGAAAATTATCTTCAAAGGGATCGGTTATCCCACATTAACGAGTATGCATTAGACTTCTAAGCTTTGTGGCTTTGTGGTGTTCACTATACTTGCTCGTACTGGTGATCTTTGTCAATTTCACTTTTTTGGTTATATAAGTTTTTTTAAATTTTTCTTTTCAGACGAGAAGCACAGGAGGCATCTTTGTCGAAGCAGAGAGAAGACTTGCATGAATGGGAAAGGCAGTTGCAAGAGGGGGAAGAAAGAGTTGCTAAAGCTCAATTGATTGTCAAACAAAGGGAGGAGAGGGCTAATGAAAATGATAAGATCATCAAGCAAAAGGAAAAAGAGCTTGAAGAGACTCAAAAGAAGATTGATGCTGCTAACCTTGCTTTGAAGAAGAAGGAAGATGGCATAAGCTCTAGGCAAAAAAATGTTGCTTTGAGGGAGCATGTAAGCATCTCTTTTGCTATACAGTATATCATTTTAACACACTTATGCCGCAAATTTTTGTAGTATTTTGGATTGTTCTCACTTATATGCTTCATCTTAATGCAGGAAGCCGATGCCCTGAAGAAGTCCTTAGAGACAAAAGAGCAAGAGCTACTTGCTCTGCAGCAGAAACTTGATGCCAGAGAGAAGGCAAGTTCACTCTCTCTCTCTCTCTCTTTCTCTCCCCCTCCTTCTATCTCCTGCTTTCTGGATAAAATCTGACATGGATGTGTTTTAAAACTATGATGCTTAACTGAAATCTGAGCATTTTGTCTGTTCTTGTTGTGACGTGCTGTACTGCATTTTGATGGTGGCTTATTCTCCTTCTTTTCTAAGCATCCTATTGTGTTTCGCATTCTTGAATTCTTGATTCAGTTTACTGGGCAGGAAAAGTGGTCTTTCCCAGAAAAGAATATTTATGTTTTTGTGCAGAGGATTGGTAATTGGTAGTGATGTGATAACTATGCCTATGCTCTCTGTTTCTCTTTTCTGGAAGCTTGACTGTGGTGTTCTTTCATCATTGAATGATTTACAGGCAGCAGTTCAGGAGCTTGTTGATGAACACCAAACTAAATTGGATGCAAAACAGCGTGAATTTGAGTTTGAAATGGAAGAGAAAAGGAAATCTGTGGATGACGACTTGAGGAGCAAGGTTGTGGAGGTGGAGAAGAGGGAAGCTGAGTTGCACCACATTGAGGAGAAAATTGCAAGACGGGAACAGACTGTAGATAAAAAACTGGAGAAGGTCAAAGAGAAAGAGAGAGATTTTGAATCAAGACTGAAAAACTTAAAAGATAGAGAGAAGGCCCTCAAAATGGAGGAAAATGCATTGGAAAATGAGAAGAGAAAACTGTTTGACGACAGGGAAAATCTTCTCAACCTCAAAGCTGAAGTTGAGAAGATAAAGGCTGAAAATGACGCACAGCTCGTAAAGATGCGTGAAGAGAAGGAGGATCTTAGAGTTACTGAGGTGGAGAGGTCCTCGTATCTTCGCCTCCAATCCGAATTGAAGGAGCAGATAGAAAAATGTAGGTCTCAGCAGGTGCTGCTTTTGAAGGAGACTGAGGATCTGAAGGCACAGAAAGAAGCTTTTGAGAAAGAATGGGAAGAACTTGATGAAAGGAAAGCTGAGATCGAGAAGGAATTGAAGAATATTAACGATCAGAAGGAAAAACTTGATAAATATAGACAGACAGAAGAAGAACGGCTGAGAAAAGAAAAACAGGCTGGAGATGACTCCATAAAAAGGGAGCTTGAAGCTCTTGAAGCGGCAAAGGATTTGTTTGCAGCTACTATGGAGCATGAGCGTTCAGCGGTCTCTGAGAAATCTGAGAGTGAAAGAATCCAATTGCTTCATGATTTTGAGATGCGTAAGAGGACACTTGAGACTGATATGCAGCTCAAGCTGGAAGAAAGAGAGAGAGAGTTACAGGTGAAGGAAAAGTTATTTGAGGAAGAAAGGGAAAGAGAATTGAGCAATATC